ACCTGCATGCAAAGGTCACATCACGAAGCACTTCGTATGGAGCCGCAGGTTGCCGCGAGCCCTGGTCTAGAGGGGCTCTCCGAAGCGCCCTATGGTGGAGGGCCTTTTCCAAACAATTGCGGCGCTGCATCTCTTTATCTTTTGTCTTGCATTGCAGGGACAGGTCGTCGCACCCAGGCCGTAGATGTTCTAAAATGTGGCCCTCTCAGTTTTTTTGGTTTAACCGATTTATCGATGGCTGACCTGTAGAGACACCGGACCCTGCGACGTGAATGTGGAATTGCTGACTGCTCGATGAGCACTGCCACTTGAGAGGTCTGTGCTGCCCCATGGCTCAGTTGGGCTGGAACATATTTGTCATTTGAAGGAAAGAAATAAATAAAAATCTGATCATCAGAATAGTATATTTTAAATATACTACGTATATTATGGTATGTATTAGACATGTAACCATGCATTGACTCATGGACCTAAATTAATTCGTATGTTTATATTTCAGTCCTTGAATTGTGCATGTGAGAATTATGATTAAGGTCAATTGTATGCAAATGTGTACTTGTAGGATAATGGAACACACAAGCCTGTAAAAATGAGACAGAACACTTATCATACCAACAATACGTTAAACACAAGACAAATATACGTCTTGATTTAAATCGTGTCCCAGAATCTCACGTGTGACACAAGAGCCCAACAAAGTAAATACCACAGAACTACGTCTGAGATCCCTTTAAGTGACCTCTGTTCAACACAGTAGGGGGCAGCACTTCTCCACATAGAGCGATTTTATTCGCGTGGCAGTCAAAACGATATTTGTAATTCTCAGAGCTGCATTTAGTGAGAATTAATGACTCAACCAAATTGAATGTGATTATTGGTTTGTGTATTTATTGCTGACCAGGCTGAGACCAGCAACTCACTACGCTTGAGAATCTGGACCTTACAATTTGGAAATTCATCGAATCATTGGGGAAAGAGGGGGTGGGGGGATGGATTTAAAAAGTTCCATGCATATAATAAAACCTCAAGTAATCGGTAATCAGTGACCGATTACTTTTGAAAAGTAGCCCTTCCAACACTGCAAAATAAGAGGGCCTTCATTGCCTGAAGCCCGTTAAGACCGGTTAGCGATGCTCTTGGCACAAGCCGGCACTCAGCGCGCTTGGAACAAACTCGCTGTGAAGATGAACGCTAAAAGCGAAAAAATTCTGGCGAGCGAGAGGTGGGGAGGGGGGAAAAGTTACAAAATAGTTGAGCGATGTTGATTGATGGGCCGCAGTAGAGTGGTCACACCGCGCAAACGCGGGCAGTGGCAAGCGCTGGTATTTTCCAATCAGCGAGTCGTGGTGACACGTACGTGCGACATGCCACCCGGCAGCAAACACATAAGTCAGTGTGGGCAGTGAGTCGGTCATTGAGCGAGTCGCTGCACACGTGCCCGTGCGTCAGCCGAGCGATATTGAGCGCCCGGCGCTTTTATGTGCGCGGCATGGCAAATATGACCACCGAAAATTAATATGAGTCTCGGCGGGGAGTCAATATTTACAGCATTACTCAGGGGTTTGGCTCCGTCGTCCGTGTTTGTCTTTGGAGAAATTTCCATTAGAAACGCGTGATGAATAATGCTAACAAGCAGGCGTGGAATCGCTTCGCAGTTACATTACCAGGAATCATAAATTTAGCTTCTTGTTGACGATAAAGAAATCATTTTCTTCAATTGAATTTCTTAATATCATATTTTACGCGCTCGTTCATTTAATATGTTATTTTTTTTATGGATCTTAATTCCCGAGTGTCCCAGTGATGGATTCAGCCATTGGGTAAGCCAAAAATAGAAATTCCACATTTCGCTGGCAGGGGCTGGTTTATCCGTAGTCCAACCAACTGTTAATTTCTGACGAAGTGGAATTTAATGTTACTTACCTCGGACGGATGCTGGGCTGAGTGGAACACCTATTTCGCATTTTAAAGCGCAATATTCCAATTGTGAATTGAGGGTTAAAAGTTTTAAGGGAAGCAGATACATCGTTAATGCCAATGTGTTTAGTATATATATATTTTTTATCAACAAGTATAATTTTTATGCCATGGTAATCGATGTAGCCTGAGCCAATTTGCACCAGGTCAACAGGTCAACTGCTACGGCCAGCCAGTAATTTCTGCAGGCACTTACCAAAGCTTGCCGTGCGCTGCAAAGTGGACGTTAAAGATCTCGTGACACGGTTTGGCAAGAGCAGGCCAACGTTAGCTGGTGTTGGACACAAATGTCAGATAGACTTTACAGAGACCTGTCTTCTCCTCGGTGGACATTAACTTGGAGAAATAACCGAACCGTACGTCAAAAACTAAAATCTCTTGCGGATGTTTTATCTCGGCGAGTTCCCACCATCTGAGTACAAATAAATCCAACTGTATCACAGTATTCGCAGCAAAAGGAATAAAGGTGAATCAGATTGAGTGAATTGGTTGTGAAAATAAGTGATCCCAAGAACATTACAGAAGGTGAACAATTATACGGTGATATTGCTTTGGCAGTGGTGCAACAAGCAACAGACTCAACACAATCGTCAATAACGACTGTGGTCATCCCATACCTGTCAACCCCTTATCAGTGCCTACCTTGTTACAGACAAACTCAGGACCTTATTGGTCGCGTGCCCTATGCCCTTTTAAATCTCAACGTTAATCCTACAAAGTACCATCGCAAGAGAGAAACACAAACTAATATATTAGAAAAAAATTGCCCGTATTGAAATGGCTGTACGCCGTATGGACCTGGCAACAAAATTTTCCTGTACAAGAATACGGGTAAACCGTATGGGTCGACAGCTTTGTAATCCAGAACAGACCGTACAAATTATAACGACGCAATGCCCGATCCGCAACTACGAAGGAGACATCACAGCGATACACACCGCTGCACCGAACGCGCTTATCTGTGCTTGACCACCTGAATGTTGAATTGAAGGTTATTGGCACTGCAGCGGCATCAGCCACACGAAAGACAGATCGTCAATAACAACGGTGCGTTGCTTGCGTGTGTGGCCTTGAAAGGGAAAATAGAAAATAGGCGACATTTGTGGGTGACATTGCAGAAAGTGGTGTGTCTATGCCCTCTAGTGGGGAGCGGCCGTGTAGCGGTGCCAACCCGGCTACCCGAGTTCAATTCTCGCTCAGGGCCAAAACGAGAGACGTTTTTTTGAACCGGTCCTAGGCCTTCCCCTAGGTCGACTCAGACACAAATGAGTACTTGGTGCGGTGTAAAAATCGCCATCAAGGGAAACGAAGGCGGTCGGGCGTGGTGCTGGCCACCCGCCCCTACGTGTACCGTTCTGGCCTTCCTCGGTGCTACTCGTGAACAGCACTTGCCCCAACAGTCTGTTAAGGCTATACTGGGGGGCGGGGAATCTTTGTCTTTGCCCTTGTCGAAAATGGGTTATCCGCTGCGTAGCATAAATCCAATTTTCTTTTGAACATGTAAGGGCCCACTGGCACGTGTAAAAGTGCACAATTTACTCCGTTAACACCAGATTTCATATTCTTAAGTTTTTTCGGTAAAGTCACGTAGGTAAAAAATTAAAATTATAAAAGTAAAATTAAATTAAATTAAAATCACGACGTTTCGGAGGCAACACAAGCTTCCGTCTTCAGGTGGAACCGTCACAGCCCGACAGCTGTATCAAGTAAATGAGAAATGACAAGAGATACCACTCCGTATATATAATGGTTGAGGGGAGGGGGGAAGGGCCAGGAACGGCACACTTTTTGATAACTGACAGAACAGGCAGACGGGCACGCACTATCTGAGCACAATGACCCGACCGACTAAGCAAAGGGGCTATATTTTAAACAGCAAGCCTCATTGTCCAAGAAGTGCAGGACTCGTTTTCGTATGATGCGCGCTAGAATACGGGTGGAGCCGTTGTCTTGACGCCAGAGTGATGATTATGAGCCTTGAGTCGACGTTCACAGTCGAAACGTGATCGATCCACTGCCGGACAAAGACCTCCCCCCATGCATCATCAATTGAATCCAGCTCGTGGACACAAAATTACACTGGTCAACACACTTTTTCTGGCATAAGGTATTCCAACGGGTTTAAGGTAATGTTGGGGTGCTGATTCCAAATCTGGCATCAGTTTTGTCTATCACATCAGGTTTTCGAGATATCAAATATTGCATTTTCAATAAAAACTGCAGAAGAAAAATATTAAATAAATGTGGATATCTACATAAAATTATATTAAAAACACACTATCCTAAAACACAGCACCATATTTTAACTACTAAAGCAGTCACTGACTCGCAACAACTTGCAATCATAAGTGACAGAGTTAATTTCGGGTAAAATCAATGAAATGGGGTATGCCGATAGCATTAAAATGAGATGTGATCGAGCAAATCTGAGATCAGATTTGGAATCAGCACCCTGAAATTAGTCTAGAACAGCTGCAAAAGTCCAGGCCAGAAAAAAATGTTTTTTGTTAGTTGACCAGTGTAATCTCAAAGCGTATGCGCGTTTTCTCACTCTCTCTCTCCCCAGTGACGCTCACTTCGCATTTGGCTGCCACTCGCTTTGTCATTAGGGGCCGTCCATAAATGACGTCACGCACCTAGGGGGGGGGGGGGGTCAGGCATTTGTGACGATGTGTGACGAGGAGGGGGGGGTGAGAAATGTGACGTCACATCAAACTGCGCAACTTTACATAAATATAGACAACACGTTCTACTTAATTAAATAGACTTTTTAATAATTTTTTTCTCCTACAATATCAGAGTGCAGCACCACATTAAATACGCACTACAATGACAATAGTTTCAAGCGATTTGAAGTATGTTTTTTTTGGGGGGGGGGGCAGAGCTTTGTGACGTCATATTTGAGGGGGGGGGGGTCTGACTTTTTGTGACGCCGTGTAACGAGGGGGGGGGGCGGTAAAAAATCGTCCAAAATCGCGTGACGTCATTTATGGACGGCCCCTTAAGTCTTGAACAGTGAGTGGTTCTCAGGTGAGTGTGTGGGTCCCAGGTCCCACCTGGTGGTGGGTTCGTCACTAGCTCCTGGCGGTGGCTGTGATGCAAACGCAGGTCTCCTCCGGACAATGATGACGACGTTTATATCTTTTGTTTCGGACATTAATTACTATTGTAGTTATGATATCAATTTTCCATAATAGAGGGTTTTTTGGGGTTATACGATCGCGTAAATATGAACGTGTCATTTCGATTTAAAGCTTTCGTGACCAGGTCTGTCAGACGCTGTCGCCTCGACAGACCTGGTTTTCACCTGAGGACGGCTGCTTGCGTTGTGGCCGAAACGTCGTGAGAATTATTTTATTATGTTTTATTTTTTATTATTTTATTACTTCCCTTCTACGTGACTTTACCGAAAGAACCAAGAAGATATGAACGTGTCGTTTAAACCTGTCACCATCCCGACATGGCCCATTAGTAAGGTTCATCACTCAAACAACGCAATTATATTGATATCGAAAGATTTACGCGATCTAACCCAAGCACCTCTAGCATGGATAATATTGATCGCGAAAGCCTCCGTGTAAAACCGATATTTAATTTAAAAACCAAGTTAGGTAGAAGTACCCTAATTAAACTACCCTAATCCGAAGATCTAAATAGCTTACCTAAAAAAAATTGTATAACTGCGTTAAAAAATAAAAAAGTTATATTCCAGTGATATGGAATCTTAACAGGCTAATATTGGACGTTAGAGCCGGTCCGCCTCGCACGCATCCACAGCGTTCAAGCAATGGGAACGTTCACATACTGCATGCGAGTGGGAGCTCTAATCAGAATGTTTATTTATACTGGAAGAATCCGATGAGCTATGAAGCAATTTTTTCCCACCCACAGATGTCCCGGTATTATATTGTGTTTGATCACCCGGCCGCCACGTTTTAAGCGCGCGTGGAAGTTTCAAATTCTGTTAGAAATTAGGGATAGCTTTACAAACTCTTAGGTTTTTCGGTAAAGTCACGTATAATAAATCACTATTATTTTATTTCTATTATTATTTCTATTATTTATTATTAGTTATTTTTTACCTACGTGACTTTACCGAAAAACCTAAGAGTATGAATCCTTGCAGTCACTGAAAGCTTCAAATCTAGAAAGAAATAGCTTTACAACTTCCATACACACGTAAGTTGCAACGTGTCTATGCATGGTTTGAATGTGTCAAAACACTACTTGAACACGCAGGGTTTCGCGACCAATATTATCGGTAGTAAAGGTTTTTTTTTGGGTGAGATCGCGTAAATATAAATGTGTCGTTAAATCCGCCATCACCGACACAATTAGCAATGTTGTGGGGTTACTCTCCAACACACCGGTGTGCTGAAGTAACGAATTGGCACGTTTTGCTTACGTGACAAAACTTACTAATCGGCTGCGTCGGGTGGGTGGCAGGTTTAACGACACGTTTATATTTATGCGAACTAACCCAAAAAAAAGCTTTTTGAAAAACAATACTTTATAACAGACTCCCAGTATCGCAATTTATGTGTATATGTGTTTGTGCCGTGCATGACATTGTATATGTGTGATTATGCATATGCAGTTGTACATATACATATCTGCAACGTTACTAAAGCATGACAAGTTGAACGTTTTCCCCTTCTATTGTCATATTTCCATCCAAGCAAAAAACCCAATTAATTAAACTTGTTCGCATACATAGTTTATTAATGTTAAGTGTCCTCAATATCGTAATACATTACGTACATTTTTTTACAACAATAAAATGTAATATTAAATGGATAATTACACTTAGCATTGCAATGTATCTGTGTGTGCACGCATACACCCGTCTATTTACACATTTCCTGATATGGTCAACAATGAACACGGGAAACAGAAACACTAGACTTAGTTTGGATTGTAATATTTATTACTTTAAATAATGCATTAAAACGTGAACACTTAATCAAACCCAAAACAAACAGCTCAATCGTTCACCTAAAATAAAAGTATCAACTGAAAATGGAACTGACATTACTAAAACTAAAATTCTATCGAATTCTGCTAATTGCCTTGGACTTATTTCACAAGTTAGTAGTGTCAGCTGAGAAGTCAATTTAACAACGCTTGAACAATAATCCTTGTAACTGTCATATTTTATGCACTTAAGCCACCAAATTTCATGTCAGTGTCTATATCTTGCTTTAAAAACCCTCTTGAAAAAACCACCATCATTTAATATTGCTTGCATGCTGATGCGCTGTTTTTGTCGAGTTAAAAGGTGACATTGAGAGAGAGAAAATGTAAACCTTTGTACCTTTTAATCTCAACTCAACCACGATGTATTGCTTTGTTATCTGCCGTCTACCTTGTGCACCGTTTTGTTTTCCAACGAGCCTCTTCAAAAAGAAGAAGAAAAAAAGATGTAGCCTCAATGGACTCTCTTACAAATTCAAATGCAACTAAGCGTGTCTGCGTGAAAGTGTGCCGCGGTGTTTGACGGTACGCGGGCCGATGCGACGGCGCGCGCTGGCGGCTTGCGGGTGCAGCCGGGGCCTGCACTCGGAAGTTCAAACCGCGCCCTCCCAAGAAGCCTCGACGCGAATTTCAGATTTGAAACGAAGTCGCCCGCTTTCGAGACTGTCATCCTAAAGAGGTGGTGAAATGATGGCGTGCTTGGACAGACAGGGTGGCCCAGATATGTTGTGAATAACCCACCCCCCCCCCGCCCCATTTAAAGCTCTAAAACCTAATATAATTTTAAAAGTAACGTTTATTTAAAACATAAATGAATATGCAAACGGTAAAAATGTTAGGGGGTCAACTAATCGGGGGTAAGATCTGGACGATCCTGTAGATGTCAGGACGTGAGGCTACCACACAGTCAAAGCCAACAACACCTGGGTATTTCAAGGCAGTGTTCTGTCCAAGTATTAACCGAGCTCAAAATCTGCTTAGCTTGCAAGACCTGATGAGATTGCTTGCATTCAGGATAAGTTGGTCACCGGTATTATAACAGTAATTTTACGTGGTGGTTTCAAAGAGACTTGCGTAAAAAGAACAATTCTATATTCCTCATGATCGCTAAAGTTAAATATTCACACAATACAAAATACTAGAATTTAACATGCTTAAATATAAGCGCGGGTCATTCATTTTGTGTGCTCAATGCTCGACACCTTAAATCTGCCGAATTGCTTGTGCATTCAAATTGGGCCCTCCCGTTTGAAACACAAATTTTCGCAGCCACAACGCCGTGGTTTGTCGTAGAAGCTCGGCCTTGTGGCCGAGTTTCTACACCGTCCCCGATGCAGTCCTCGAATTGTACATTTATTTCGGTGCCCAGCCCAGACTTGGGACTGCTGGGTAAAATAACGTTTGGCTGCGCAACCACGATGGCAGTCGGTCCGGACTGGCAGTTTTAATTCTGCCCCCTGCAATCTCACTTTGCATAGGGCCTTAACGAGGTTAAATGTTTTCAAACCTGTAAATAAAACTATTGCGTGACTGCCTTGTTATTCAATACCCCCCTACACAAACCAACATCGGTGGTGCGTATCTCTGTTCCCGAGTCAGTTGGAAATTCCACATTCCCAGAGCAGGAGCCAGCCTCTTCATGTGCCGACAACAATTGGCCTGTAGTAAGTGGTAAAGTGGCACCAATTTTGTTGACCGTAGAGGGATCAAAATCGAGTCAGGTGTTTAACCACCGTCACCAGAAGCGGTAAACGTGAAAAAACACGCACAAGTCACCGGTTCGCCCTTGCTGAAGATACATGGTATCTACATGAGCTGATACCTGAATATATATTAATTTGGCTGTGTGTCACTCGAGCAATGATATCCACTGAAGGAATGTGGAATTTCCATCACTGGCTCAGGGCTGTTAACAGATAGGAGTGCTGTCTGAGACTTGATTAGAGAGACACTTAAATTAGTTTTCACCAATAAACGATACGTGTATGAATGATTGAATCAGATATTCACCTTGCCGAAATGGCATAATTTGCCTTTTTTAAGGATACACTTTCTTTCTGTGAAGAAATGTGGCTCCGTTTCCAAAAAAAAACAGGCAACGACTGTCATAAATCACAAACAGCCTCCTTTAATTTATCATTATTTAGTCGTTCATCGGATATAACGTGAATGGAATTGACTTGAGGTAGCACACACGCCTTTAAATAAAACGGCGACTCACCCAACGCCGGTTCATCATTTGAAGTTGCCAACAATAGGTGGCAATTCGCACCCTCGAGGAATGATTTCACACGGCCGCGGTGCAATTCGTGGCGATTGTTACGGCGGGGAGACTCGGGGAGGTGACACAGATGTGGCAGTTTTGTTTTTTTTAAACGACACCCTCCAGCTGCATCATAGCTGGGAGGTGCGAGTGGGAGACACGGTCTGGTGAGCCCTAAGGTAATTCACCAGTGGCACTTTGGCAGAGCCAGGTTGGGCGGGAGGGGGGGTTAGGTCCCGATTATCGTGGACTTATCAGGTGGTAAAAGTCCTCGTTGCGCCCCGTGTGAGTACGAGTGAGCATATGAAGGAAGATGTTATGCAGGGCAGAGTGAAAATGACTGAAGCTTTGTCGCGTAAGCCGGGGCCCGTGTCGGACTGGATATATGCCGACACAGTGGTACAATGCTGTGGCATTGGTTGTGCTGGACTGTGCCATGTTAGCTAATATGAGGCTGTGTTACGTAAGTGCGTGCTAAGTTAAATTGCGTTTGCTAGTGCCAAGTCATATTATGTCTACTAGTGCGGTAACGTGTTGTTAACTGATGCACAACTGGATTATTTTGGCTCATGCTCTCGAATATTGTGTTGATCGATACGCCACTATTTTGCGAGCTGATGTTGGGCTTTATTAACTAATGCAGGTTTTCATTTACATTGGCTGTTCATTATTATCTAATTCTGGGATATAACGTAACAGCCAGTGCAGTGGTGTGTTGAACTGTATTGCATAACGCTGGGCTGCATTGCACTGGGTGGCCATCAATCGTTCAGCTTGCAGTCATGGAACATCTGTCCTCACGACCACCGTCCCCGCCACCACGTCGTAGCCCGCACGGTTGTGCTGGTTAAAGAAAACGGTCGTCAGGGCCGGCAGGAAGGCAGCAATGGAGATGTTCTTGATGACGGAGCGAACGGCCGACCTGCAGCGGCAGAGGTCCAGAATCGACGTGCACAATGTGTTTACAACATGAAAAAATAGGAATAGGTTTAACCCTTTCTGGCAATAAAACAGGTGTTAAGATTTTCAAACACCAAATAGATTCCTTTTGCAAGGAATCAAGTCTGCATTAATCACACGCGGTACTTGTGGTGAACATGCAAACAAACATGCTCTAATAATAATAGATGCATTGTCTTTGAAACTGATTGGCCTACACCAGACAGCCTTCTTTAGGGCCTAGTCTCACCAGTGTCAAACCAGAGAACGCCAAAAGGCAAACAGTGCAAAGACAATGCACTATCAGAGCATTTATAGCTTGGGTTGAGGAGTTACAAAATGGGATCTTTTTCCCAGTATCAAAGTGTGAAAGGTTAAAACCTATTCTTATTTTTTCATATTTTGATACTGGCAAAAAAAGGTCCCATTTTGTGTTTACAACAATGGGCCAAATCACATTGCTACACCAGTGATTGCAATTTTGTTTTTCTAAGGGTGTCGAGAAGCTGCTTAATCCTCTGCCCACCCGAGAACACTGCAAAAGTTTTCATGAAAACTAAAACATCCCCAGAAGCGGTATCTATAAAACCTACCATGCAGCTTGCCAATACCATTGCACAGATGTGTGTGGTTTTTGGGCAAGATTAGCAATTATATAATTTTAAATAATTTCAGACTATGTTCGTACGTTATTCTTATTATTTCTACATTACGCTGTGCACTAGCGCAATAACTGCACGTGTTAGAGCACACGTGTGTAGTTGTAAGCTCGCGTGCAAATGCCTGCTTGGGAGGACAGGGGCAGGTGGATTGAATAATCAACCAGAGATCTCTGTTATTGCAAGTCCAGTATGCTGACCATTTACATAACGTGCAGCAACCGCTCCCGACTAAGGAGCACGTTATAAACAAAACATCCGGACGTACAGCAGTCACACAAACAACGCAGAAGGCCCCATTTCATCGGACGAGTTGGCGGCTAAGACATTGCCACGGAGTTGGTTGCTTACGCCGCCATGCCGACGTTGTTGGGGTTGAGCAGCAGCACTCGGTCCGCCTGCACGGTCACACAGCTGTCGCAGCTCAGCACGCGCATGCCCAGCAGAAATTTGCCTGGTGTTGCACCGCCTATGCCCCACACGCAGATCCACTACTCAAACGGAGAGTGCGCGTGCGAGTGTCGGGGGTGGGGGGGGGGACACAGAGGGAGAACGCAGATGGAGCAGGCGCACGAGACATTGGTGAGAACGGCAGTAGACTACGTTTTATGGGAAGTCACAAAGGGCAGTTTTCCTGCTCGGGCAATGATCCATTTACAGCCCTGAGTCAGCAGTGGAAATCCCACATTCCCAAGGCAAGGCGTAGCCTCTTCATAGAACAATGCTGTTCAGTTCCCAAACAGAGGTTTGGTCAGATATTTTCTATTATGAGGATTTGACTGACAAATGGTTTGCTATTGTTCCAGACAAACATTTTAAGTCAAAGTGTCTCCATAACCAAATAAACAAGAGACAGTTTTTGTCTGTGCATCTGGCCCTGAGCCAGTGGTGGAAATTCCACATTCTCATGACAGAAGCCAGTCACTCCAGAGTAAAACCATTGCTGACTTCTAACAAAGTGAATCTCATCTTAGCAAGCCTGGAAGGGTTGCGGGCCAAATAGACCCCCATCTGGTAATTATCTTAACCATGATGCCATGTAGCCGGTAAACAGAGGACAGCACAAACAATGGGTATTATTTTCGTTAATTATCACAGCAATATTGATCTCTGATATTTCATTTACTTGGAAATTAGACTATTTTTTTGGGTCAATAGGTTTAAATGTTACGCTTATATTTTCCCAGGTTCCCACTCAATAGGAGAGGTAGATCTCAATTGGCTTTAGCTTTTAGCTGGTTAAATCCACATCGCTATATCATTGCGCACCTACTATTGAGGTTTTATCCTCAATTAGAAGTTGTATCATTTCTTCATACCATGTGGGCTACTTCTACATCTGCATGGCTGGCTGTTGAAGCATATATTTGAATGATCTCTGAACACGAACAGGAGAGATTTGAAATTAAATGACGATCCCCGATTGGCTGACGACGCAGTCATTATAACGACAGGTGTTAAAAAACTACAGGAAAATACTTCACTAAATCAAGAAGAGTACACCATTGGTAGCAGAAAAACTTGAGCAAAACCAAAGTCATGTGCAACTTCACGAAACAAATTAAGATATCTGTTTTTAGGACACAACTGAAAAACACATCATACTATGTATACCCAGGGCAGTTATTAAAAATGGACTGGGACCAAATTTATTAACTAAAGAAGTGAACCAGAGCAGATTTGAGTATGATAATTGGTTTTTTACCCTTTTATCTGGCAACAAAACTGACACCTTTTTTACAAGGAGTCATGTTTGCATATACCACAATACCTGCAGTCATAATGCAAACAAAAAACATAACTCTGATAATGTATGCACTGTCCTTGAAGTTGATTGGTCCACACCCGAGACAGTTTTCCTTAGAGCCTAGTCTCACATGGCGTTGGACCAGATGACGCCAAAAGGCGCACAGGGTGAAGTTCCAATGGGGTAGATTCGAGTACTTTTGGAAAACTGAGTTTTAATCTGTCAATGTGCCTATACTCGAATTTGTTTCAGTATATATGACCTACTATGACATATGGATCATAAATAATGGACGACATTGACACAACAAATTTAACTAAAGCTTAAAAGTGTGCAAAGGAGTATGGGGAGAAATGCATGGTTGGAATTAGACCAAGCGACGGGAAGAATAACCAAGAGTAAAAATTGGCCAACCTCGTACAAGCAAACGAAGAGTCTGTACACCAAGGCCACGATGATCATCCGTTGGATCTCCTCCACTGAGGTCTCCTCATTGATGTCCTCCAACAGCAGGTGCAGAGCAAAGTCGGAAGGGTCTCTGTTGAGAGGGACGAGCATTGACACCGTTATCCAGTTAACACTTTCGTTTTTCATTTAATACATTGAATACTTTAATTGGCAGTGTATTTTACAACCAGTAAACTTGCAGCACAGCTTAAAACACCAAAATGCCATCGCACCTCAAGACGAAATGCAAATCAGAATGTTGATTTAGCCTGGAGGAATACGATGAGCTATGAAGCTCTTTTCCACAGGTGTCCAGGAGGGGGCGGGTCAGTCAAGAGGCAATGCATGCACATTGACAAGCCTCACAAATTATTATTTTATGTGGGGAATAACTCAATGCAACTTTCTTTTCAATCGCCACGTTAAAATGAGTGAAAGAACATGTACAACCCCATCTGGATTGTTATGTAGATATTTCAGTGTAAACTTATACAGATATATGCTTCGGTGGGGGCGGCTGTGGTTAACGTGCTCAAATAAAATCCTGTTTGGGGGTCGACTCAGCCCATCATTCATCCAGAGCTGATAAAATAACCACGACTTTGCAGGAGGTAAACATACTGCCCCAATGCACAGACTGGTATCCCCTCTATTTTATGGGGTATTTCTACCAGTGACTCAAACCCACCAACGGAAATGAGCACCACCCACATTGCTTGTTAGAGCAGGTAGACAGTCTTGACATTTGACCTTGTGAACGTAGTAGCCGCAGCCGAGACGGATAAAGCGGCCGCTCCACGCAGCCACACTCACTTGATGCCGCTGCGGTAGAGAATGCCGACCGTCACGGACACTTTGAAGCAACACAAGATGAGGAAGTCCACCGCCTCGGCCGCTAATCTTCTCGTCAGCGTTGGCACAGTGAATTGCCTCCCTGCGGGTCGAGTGGGAAGGCACGCGTGGAGGGGGGGGGGGGGCTCATAGGCATCCCTTGGCCTTGGTTTCTCACGCGAACAATCCCGGCAACCCGCACAATTGCCATTGAACTGCTGTTCCAATATGTTTTATGTTCACATCCGACAACAGTTTTGCACGAGGTACGGTGATGCATGTACTGTAGACATACACGACGGATAACAAGATATTATAGAGGCAAAGTTTTTTTTTTACAAGCCTCTGCACATCTCTCACCAATCACGGTAAACACAAATATTTATAATTCTAGATTTGAAGCTTTTGAGAGTGCAAGGATTCATATTCTTAGGTTCTTTCGGTAAAGTCACGTAGGTTAAAATTTTAAAAATAAAATAATATAAATAATAATAGAAATAAAGTAATAAATCACGACGTTTCGGAGGCAACACAAGCTTCCTTCATTAGGTGTAAAAAGGCACAGCAAAATAACTAATCACACCTGATGAAGGAAGCCTGTGTTGCCCCCGAAACGTCGTGATTTATTATTTTATTTCTATTATTATTTGTATTATCATTTTTATTATTTATTTATTTTTTACCTACGTGACTTTACCGAAAAAACCTAAGAGTACAAATATTTATACCCTGTTCTGTAAGATATTGAGTCTTCACTTTCACAGTCCAGCACTGTATTGCCCTCACTCCTTGAGAATAAATAACAGGGTCATTGTAAACCAGTGGTGTATCAATACATGGATCATTATACATGAAGAACCATGTCTAATATTTACAATGTTTCAATTTAAATCGATGTTCATAAATAATTCACCATTGAAAAGTGTGTAGCTACTCAGTATGTCAATTTTAAAAAAACTCATATGTAAATTAAGAACTGATCACATACTACCTTTAAAACATTGTGACTGCCAACCCACACACGTCAACACGAATTACATTAACCCTAATAAAAAAAACATGCATATATTATCAGAGTATCTTTTTTGTTTGCATTCTGATCACAAGTATTGCGGTTAATGCAGACACAATTCCTTGTAAAAGATTTCAGTTTGGTGTTTTAACATCTTAACACCTGTTTTGTTGCCAGAAAAAAGGGGAAAACCTATTCTCAAAAATAGTTTTAGTTTCGCTCTTTTTCCGCCCACAAACTCATTCCTGGGGAGCTTGAGTTGCCTGCTGCTTAGCAGAGTGCCAATTGTAACACGTGGCCATACCACTCGTGGCCACCACTCATGGGTACGCAGCGCACAATTTACACAACACGGTAAAGCCACCAAAAGTCCCTTGACATTCACGTTGAGGACGCTTTCCAAAACGCCAGACGTTACGCAATTGCCACGCGTGTAATGACTGCCACCTTGTACAAGGTCTGAGCGTGGCAAAGGTCGCACACACAGTGCTAATTGCCACGTAATAACATTTTGCTGATCTCAAGGAGAATCCATTCGAGCAAAGACGGTGGCCTCCCACAGCATCGCATTCCAGACGCGCTTCTGCGGCCGTCTGGAACGCTCTTTCTTCCCAGATTATCAAGACCGCCGGAGCTATTATGCACTTTGTTTTTTTAAAGCATCGAGATGGACAACTCTTTTTTGTGTGTTAAATTCTCCGCACCTCCGATTACTAGCACGGTTCGGGGACTACGCACGCTGCGAAACACGTTCAACACGCAGACACACACACACTCGAGATTTAAAGCCACACACAGCACCGGACAATATCTCACAAATGCCAACCTATTCTTGGTTCTTTCGGTAAAGTCACGTAGAAGGGAAACAATAAATAAGTATAACCCGTAAAAACAAAGTTTTTCACTCTAAATCCTTTATATGCGTGGCGGCTAGAGTCCTCTCGTCCTCTGGCTTGAGATGGCTGCCACCTATGGGTCAGATGATTGTCTGCCAGTATTAAGCAATTGGTAATTAAATATTTAATTTGTTTTCCCTAAACAGTGTAAAATTTCGGAAAAATTTTTTCACGAACATTAATTGTCTCGCACAACGAGTCTGTGTGCAAAATGTCAGCTCGATTGGATCACGGGAAGTGGGTTAAAAAACGACCGAAAGGTTTCGCACGGTCGTAAGCAAGCACGCAAGCAAACAAGCAAGCGAACTTAATATAAAGGATTTAAAACGAATCTTATTATTTCCCTTCTACGCGACTTTACCGAAAGAACCAAGAACATGAATCCCTGCAGTCACGAAGAAGCTTTAAATCAAATGCCAACCTGCTTGATGCCCTCCCTGGCCGGCCAGGATGTTGGCACCTTGCGCCCCGGGCTGTCTCTGCTGCTGCTGCTGCCGATCAGCTGGATTTGCATGATACTGGACGGGTAAAACACCGACTGCTGGCGCCTGGCCATGATGATATGCCTGGCCATGCTGATGCTGTGCCTGATACACGTGGCAAGCGGGCGTGCCGCCAGCAGCACCTGGGTAGACGTAGGCCCAGGGAGGGTACTGCATCACCTGCCATGCCAGGGTCTGGGCGTAGCAGAGGTCGACCCACTGGCGAAGTCTCGGCACGTATTGGAACGACGAGGACGATGTTGATGGTGGTGACGATGATGGTGGTGGTGGTGACGATGGTGCAATCTTATGGGCCCTGCTCGGAGGAGGAGACCTGGTCCTGGAGTCCAACTTGTCGTCGTCTTTCTTCCCTCCGTCGTTGCTGCTGCTGCAGGTTTGAGGGTTCTCTACTCGTCTTTCACTTTCATCCGCCATGGCAAATCGCAAGTCCGGGTACAGTGTCGCTGTAATAAAAAAAATAAGCGACGTTGTATTTTGCTTCCGGGGGACACCGAGAGAAAATAAACGAGTGAATGCTGCCCTCTGCTGTCACGCAGTTCACACTGCACTTGGTTTCGGTGGCCCGAGCAGGGTTGCGATTTCCGCATGGAAAATGCGGAAGGAGGGTTCAAATTTTCCCGCATTTTTGCTAAAGTCAACCGCAAACGGTGGAAAGACTACTCATATGACCGCGCGCTTTTAACAACACGTTAATGCGTTCTATTGGAAAGGATACATCATGTACATGTGCTCGTAATCACGGCTCCGCATTTGAATAAAGTATGTGGTTCTTGTGCGGAAATGCGGAAATCATATATTCATTCCAATCAGTAACTCAAAGCCCTACGTGATGCTGGGCCTTGCATGTATCCTTTCCAATAGAACGCATTAACGTGTTGTTAAAAGCGCGCGGTCATAGGAGTAGTCTTTCCACCGTTTGCGGTTGACTTTAGCAAAAATGCGGGAAAATTTGAACCCTCCTTCCGCATTTTCCATGCGGAAATCGCAACCCTGGGCCCGAGATCACAAATCCTTGAGACATGATAATAGTTTTTTTTTACCCTTTTATCTGGCAACAAAACTGACACCTTTTTTTACAAGGAGTCATGTTTGCATAGACCACAATACCTGCGGTCATAATGCAAACAAAAAACAACTCTGATAATGTGCACTGTCCTTAAAATTGATTGGTCCACACCCGAGACAGCTTTCCTTAGAGCCTAGTCTCACATGGTGTTGGACCAGATGACGCCAAAAGGCGCACAACTCAAAGACAATGCACCATCAGAGTATGAGAGCTCGGGGTAAGCATTTACACCATTGGAACCTCATTTGGCAGTAAAAAATATGATAATTGTTTTATTACCCTTTTATCTGGCAACAAAACTGACACCTTTTTTTACAAGGAGTCATGTTTGCATAGACCACAATACCTGCAGTCGTAATGCAAACAAAAAACATAACTGATAATGTATGCACTGTCCTTGAAGTTGATTGGTCCACACCCGAGACAGCTTTCCTTAGAGCCTAGTCTCACATGGTGTTGGACCAGATGACGCCAAAAGGCGAGACGTTGTCAATCGGTGAGCTCCTCCAGCAGGCAAATGATGCGATGGCTGTGGGTCACGTTGCCCGCATGTAGATGAAGCTAGTGCGGGGCCTGTTACATATCTTATAAAGGGGCCCTAAAATATAAAAACACAAATTTTTTACTTGCATAGTAAAGTAACTGTATTTTCTCATTTGCTATAAAACGACAAATCGCTAACTTTAAACACCCAGTCGTTCATAACAGTTGAAGGTGGTATAGTACTATAGCAATAGAGCAAGTGCAGAATCTCTGAACCGGAATTGATAGATTTGAAGTTTTCGTGACTGCAGGGATCCATCCTCTTTGGTTCTTATCAAAAGAACCAAAGAGTGCGGAATTGATAGCTTGAAAGCATTTAGCAACGGGGCCCTTGAAATTGCGGGGCCCATAGCTACTACATATGCAGCTACTTTTGCTACTACGATAATCTTGCCCGCATGCACAGCCAAGCAGCTTCTGTTTGGTTTAACACGTAGGCTTTCGCGACCAATATTATTCATAATCAACGTTTTGGGTTAGATCGCGTCCGGGAGCAAGAGCAGAGCCTCACCATTCTGGCGAATTGCCCGATGATGCTGGATGCAATTACCAGCGAAACGTCGTACTCAAACTGTTTTAAATGTTGTGGTTTGACGCTTCAACACACCGGTGGGCTAGAGCAGTGAACTATTTGTTTTTTGTCAACGTGATACTTTTTTGCTGATTGGCCGTGTCGGGTGGTGGAGGGTTACGACACATTTATAAATAACGCGATCTAACCCAAACACGTTTATTATGAAGCTTCTGTTTGGCCTGCATGGAGGGGGCCAAACGGGCACGACATGGGCTGGAGAAGAGATGGGGAGCTGGGTGGGCTTGCCGACGACCGGCAACCCATCGGTGTCCAAGATCGGCCTCTTGTGGAGGAGGCCTCGTGAAGGATGTTGTTGGGGAGTTGGAGGCAGTGGCCCCCCGGCAACAATGGAGGGCGGAGGAGCGACGCTCACAACAACGAGCGGAGCGGCCGGGCAGATAAAACGTAGCAAGTTGGCACATTCGGGAGGGCCTGGGGGGGCATGTGCCGTGACCTCCTGTCACCAGCGAGCCTTCGACACTTCACGTTATGAGCCTCAAAGTGCACCTTGCCTGGCACAGGCGCCGTGGTGATGTCACCGTCACGGACCGAGTGATGCGAATAGAGTGAGGTGTTGGTATTGGGCTGTGTTTTTATCTCGAGATGAAGAGGTTGTCATAACCATGGTCGAAGTCATTGATGCCTCATGCAGACGCCGGGGTAGCAAAAGCTTCTTGCCCTCTGCCAGAGCCCGCAGATGCACAGGCGACCTCAGAACTGTCCATACGGCATCCCACCGTCTCACACGGAGGCCTGGAGAGTCATTCTTTGGTCTAGCACTGGTGAGACAAGACCACGACGGATTTTAAACGAATAATATTAAGGGTTAAGATTTACACGTGCGAGATGAGAAGCTTCTTGAATTGGGTTACATGCCTCGATCAGATGAAGGAAGTTTCAGAGGCCAACCCATGCAAGCAAAGAAAGAGCACAAATTCAACTATTTCTTGATATATTTTTTTATTTGACACACTGAGCTATATAGATTTTTTTTCTGAAGCCACCTGGCCTGTGGTAAAACATGCAAACACACAAGCTTTGATCATGTTTGCAATGTCTATGAAAAATGATTGGCCTACATCAGAGACAACCTTGTATGCTAGAAACGTGCGTTTAGAGTATTTGGCTGCTGTAAATTTCCACATGATGATAATCCACGTCGTTGAGTTATCATTTGTGGCCAGGTCGCTTCTGAAAAAGAAGCTAATAGCTCAGTGGGCCTTATCTGGTGAAAATAATACTTTACACTCATCGTGTTTTGGTATTGTTTGTAGTTGTTGCAACTCTCTGACCCATCCCGGTCTGGGCTTTAAAGCTCATCGAATTCCTCCAGGATAAATAAAGATTTTATTTCTGATCAAAAGGAATCTCAATTCAAATGAATAAACAAACAGAGGTCACCTCACTCTTTGGTTCTTTCGGTAAAGTCACGTAGGTATAAAATAAAATAAATAAGTTATTTATAAATAACTTATTCATTTTATTAATTTATTTCGGTAAAGTCACGTAGGCATAAAATAAAATAAATAACTTTTTTTATAAATAACTTAGTCACGTAGGTATAAAATAAATAACTTATTTATAAATAACTTAGGTATAAAATAAAATAAATAACTTCTTTATTAAAAAAAACTTACTTTTTTATTTTATACCTACGTGACTTTACCGAAATAAATAAATAACTTGTTTATAAATATTTTATTTTATACCTACGTGACTTTACCGAAATAACCACTTATTTACAACTTATTTATAAATAACCTACTTCTTTTATATTATACCTACATGACTACCGAAAGAACCAAAGACCAACTTCAAATCTAGATGTCACCCCCCCCTCTCGCGCCCCCCACCAACATCGAGGTGACTAATTTAAATATTTGTTACGCGCCGTCCGATTGGTTCAACCTCTCCACGCGCGTCGTCCAATCAGACGCCGCCTTTCTTGCATTATTTATTTATTGAATCCGCAGTCCAAGATGGCCGCGCTGGACGGAGCGTGCAGAATGGAGCGAGCGGCCTTGTTGTTGTTGTTGTTATAAACGTTATTTGGAGATGTAATTATGTTATCATCATCATCGTCGTCGTCGTCAGTCTCCTCATCGTCGTCAGCACGGTCACATTAGTCGGTAACGACTGCGGCTATTTTACACGCAGCGAGACGCGGGTGGGTGAGCGACGATGCCTCTGTCCATGGAGTCGCAACTGCAAAGCATCTTCGACAATGTCATTGTAAGTGTGGTTTGTTTGTTTAAATCATTTTAAGTAGTTTGCAATGTATCCACAAATACCTTTGCATCTTGCACTGTGACGCACCGACGTCGGAGCGTGGCCGTACATGTATTATAATTCTTAATATAGGTGTTTGGGTCAGATCGCGTTATTTATAAATGTGTCGTAACCCTCCACCACCCGACACGGCCAAACAGTAAAAACTGTTTTGATTTAAAGCTTTCGTGACTGCAGGGATTCATATTCTTGGTTCTTTCGGTAAAGTCACGTAGAAGGGAAATAATAAAATAATATACATATAATATTTTTTATTGTTTTATATTATTTTATTATTTCCCTACTACGTGACTTTACCGAAAGAACCAAGAATAGTAAAACCTGTGTCACGTTTTTCTAAGGACAAAATAATTCACTTCTTTAGCCCACCGGTGTGTTGAAGAGCTGGACGTGATGCACAAGCCGACGAATGTTGATGCGACCTCAAAATCTACCTTTATATACGAGTCTGGCATGAACAATGAGCTCTAAGAATGCGAAATATGCCCCTCGTTTTAAACCTCAGTGATGCCTTCGTCTGTCAGTGAGAATGTGGCTTTAAAGAGTGGATCATTAAACAAAGTCGGAAGATGCCTTATGCTGGCAACTGCTGTGTTAGACTTTGGGGTTTAACGCTGAACCCTACGGATCTATAAGTGTGCCCGAGACTCGATCTATGAGGAGCGAGTGTTAACGATGATCCAGACGAATCTTAAAGGGTTCCGCATTCGTCTGTGAACCTCGTGCATTAATTTACGAGGTACCATAGGAATCATAAAAGTTATTTCGGTGAAGTCACGTACAGTAGAAATAAATTAAATAATAGAATACGACGTTTCGATTGACGATGGTTGCTTGTGTTGCAATCGAAACGTCGTATTCTATTTAATGTATTTTTACGTGGCTTTACCGAAAGAACCAAAGAGTAATTCCTGCAGTCACGAACGCTTCGAATCTAATCCTAAAAGTTGTAGGCTGAGCCTCGTACATGAATACTGAAAACTTGACGTGTTTCCACTTTAAGGCCACATTGTCTTATACTGTACGTGTACTGCACGTAA